TCTGGTTTGGCAGAATACTGAGATAATTGTGATCCTAAATCAGGCCTTGGACCTCCTTGATTCATGCTATTACCAACAAATTGAGGGAACACAGTAGCCAATTGTTCAGTTGGAAGTTAACTATACTAAGGAAGAGTACCAAAATTCTGAGAACCAAGTAATCCAGAATGAGAACCAACTGATGTTTTCTAACCATTAGTCCCTGGAAGAGAATGATTATGCATCTAAAGATTAGCAGGTGGCTCACTTAACCCTTGCTTAAAGCTAATTGCTCATGAAAACTGTAGAGTGCACCATGTTGTCTTTCCAACCTCATTTTACGTTTGTGAAGCAAAAATTGTGCTTCTTGAAATGTAGTTTGACCACTATTTGAGGTCAAATTTGCTACAAAAACATCATGTTCTGGTCCTAGACCATCTAATATGTATAATCGTAACTCCTCAGCTCTTATATGAACTCCACTAGCAATCTATCCATCAACAAGCTCTTTCATTTTTAACACAAATTCATTGATGCTTAGTAAATCCTTTTTAGTACTTTGTAACAGACTTATCAAATGTAGAGTTTAAGCCTTACAAACAGACTGAAAATGCAATTCTAAAGTATTTCATATATCATAACCACTGGTACACTTAGCAACATGTCTAAACATAGATTCAAAAATTTGCAAAGAACAGCCAACTAACCAGAAATTGATCGATTTGCTTCCAATTGAAGTACTCAGTTGCTCTCTTGCTTGATTGTTTAGATTTTTCTGATTCGTCAATCAGAAACATTGGAAGAACATTCATTCACTAGTGACATATCCTTCGAGCTCATGAGCTGCTAAAGTAGGAATAATCTGCGAACGCTAGTATGTGTAGTTCTTCTCTACTAATTTGACACTTATTGTAGGCAAGGAAGGAGGAGTAGCGGAATTTGTTGAATTTGTAGATTTAGTTTTCATTTTTGCAAACTTGGGAGTAGAAATTGAGGAACTGAAGCTCAGAGTCACCATAGACATGTGTCTAGGGCTTTGATTCCATAAAAGAGTGTCAAAGAAACTTCCAGAATCGAAGGAAAATGAGGAAAGCCTGAGCAAATTAAAGTTTATCAATCCCTTTTACCTAGTTTTGATGAAAAAAATTTCACTAACTAATTTTTTTATTACAAGGCGTGCTGTTTTATAATTGCAATATATCCGTAGTAAAACACACCGCATCACTTATTCTCATAATAAAACATAAAACACCCCATATTGCTTAAACTTTCATTTTTAACACTTTAACCCTCTAAACTGATTTAACAGAAAAACTGAAACTGAAAATCTTGAAACTTGACTTTGGACTTCCTCCGGACTTCTGCTCAACAAATTGAAAGAGTTTGATCAAAAGATCATGGAAATAAAGACACATGTGAATGGAAATAAGTTCAATAGAGATGAAATTTATACTTTGCCATTGTAAGTTGCTTTGTTAATTTTTCTTTACTTTTTTCTTCTACTTCACTTCTCCAAAATTTATGAGTTAGTTTGATTTATTCAGATTTTTTAATTATTACATTATAATGGTGGAAATAAAGACACATGTGAATGAATTTTATCTTTGAACATTACATTAAGAAAAAGAAGCATAAAAAATACTAAAAATATGAATAAAAGGATTTTTTTGGTAGTAGGTGTGCTTTATGAAGAATTTGCATATGCTAAAACATTTTAATGGGATGAACTTAGAATTGGCGTCTTTGAAAGATAATGTGAGGGACCAATAGAACCACTCCAAAAATTTAGTTTTTAAGTTAAGTTTTTCCATGTATATATATATATAATATATGTATATATTATGTCTGTGTGTGTGTAAATTAGTCATTTTTTATCCATTTTTCTATATTTTAGGAAAAAAAAAACAATTATATAATATTTCGTTCACAATTTTATTTCAGTTCATTTGGTTTTCTTAAATTTCAATTATCATGTACAACATTATGTAAATTTAATTTATTTAGTTACATGTTTTTATTCCAAATTTTATACATTTAATTTCTATTTATTTATTCGAATTAGTTTTGAATTATAGTGTTTCTTGAAATTTTATTAGTTAATTAAATACAATTGTTGATTTTGTAATAAATATATATTAATTATCAAGACAATTCTCATTATATCATTGACCGTTAACTGTTAGTTCTAATTATTTTTTTAATAATAATTATCTTATAACATTGAGGTTTAACCAAAAAAAATTCTTCGTGTTATTTTTTTAAAAAATTTCTATTGAAAAGAAAAAAAGATAAAAATCTAGCCCAATCTAAGGAAATTTTCTGGCTACCACCCCGATTGGAATGTAATAAATTTTTTTTTTTTTTTATTGTGTCAAAAATTTAGGACAAAATTTTAAGTTGATTTAGCTTAACCAATAACAATATTATTTTTACATAAAGGTGAATAACATAAATAACTTACATGATCTGCTGCTTCTAAATATTATTCCCTTAAATTCCTTTAAACCCTTTTTTTTTTTTTTTTTTTTTTTAATGCTCGGCTGGGCTTCAAAATTGAAGTCCCCGCTAAACCATATATTCTTTGGGAAAGAGGAAATAGTGGTCTATAGCAATGCAATTGCTCATGAGAGAGTTTGAATCCTAAATCTTGTGGGAGAAAATCACAAACCTGATCATCCAGCTAAGCCCTTTTTTTTTTCATTATTTTCGTAATTAAAGTATCCAAGTCAGTTTGCACGCACCTCAACTAATCCCCAGTGTCCATTGAATACCCTACAAATCAAAGGACCAGATAAGTCACAATATTATTGTGGTAGGTGACCCTAAGGTTTGAACTCAGAAACTTAAGGAATATAACAAACTTCCTCAACTGTCAGGCCAACCTCTTAGAATTCATCCAGCTAAGCCTTACAAGCATATTTTTTTGAACTTTTTTGTCACAATTTTTACAAAGATCTTCAAAGATATTTTATAATGATTCATTATTTATCAACAGTGCAATGAATATATAGTACTATAAAATGGTAAGACGAAATGTGTGAATAGGAATTTAACATATTTATAATGCAAATAAATATAAGTATCTTTTACATCAGAAAATGAAAATATTTATAGTAGGACGAACGTATACGAGCAAATGAAATTACACACAACCTGCATGCATTAAATTAGTACGTTTGTTTTACTCTGTAGTACTATTTGTTCAATGGTTTGGAGTTATCGATGAAAAGCACATTTTTTTTAAAAAAAAAAGTGATTGATTTTGTGGTTGGGAAGTTAACGTAGTAATTTTATTTTATTTACTGTACAAAGCCCCGTGAAGTAGGGTTTTCAAGAGTTCTCTTTAATTTTCTGGGACCTCTGGTCACTGTTATCTCATTGATGTGGCAATACTCAAGCCCCATTTCTCCATGCAACTTCATTTTATCTTTTATTATTTATGTCCAACACATGGCATCTTATTCGTCTTCCAATACTGCTGATTCACCAATTTCATACGTGTCAGGATTATAGCCTTCCATGTGTCAAATAATGATAGCATACCTGTCAGAAAATCCAAATTGCGTACCTCAACTTTGTGTGTCCAAGCCAAACGCTTACAATTTTCTAATCAGCTTAATAATTATATAATTAAATATTGATTCATCACAATAATCTTATTGTATTTGATAAATATGTGACGATAACATGTATTTTAATTTAGGCATAATGTACATTATGAAACATATTTAAAATATTTACTGGAAATTTCTCATTTCGATTTCATAATAATATATAAATGATAAGGTAATATAAAATTTACATCTACCATGACTTTTGATTTTGAAAATGAAATTTGGAATTAAGAAAAGTAAGGGGAATAGAAAAAGGAGAATATTATAGACTAAATTTCAAGGGGTCGGCAGCCAAGAAGATTTTTTTTTTTATTGATTTTTTTTTTTTTTTATTCTAACTTTGAGATCACCTATCATATTTGTGACTTACCTTGGAACATTAGTTTTATATGGTATTTATTACGATTTACGAGATATTTTATTGTCATCTTACTTTATTGTTATTAGTAAACTTGCACAATTAGAGGGATTGTTACCATTATTAGTAGGATTTGATTTGATTTAATTGTAATAAGTAGGATTTAGACAGATATGTAAGTTGTATATATGAACTTTGTACTGAAGTTTTAAAAGCAAGTAAAAACAAAATATTCAGATTTTTCAGTATTCAATAAGCTTCAAAGATTAATCCAAGTGTGCGTAAACTAGCCCGAATATCCTGGTCATAAAAAAAATATATAGATTAGATTAAAGTTTTAAATTTTTAATTCACATGATAATTTTTGTTTTTTCCATCAAAATAATCTTCAAGGTTTGAAAATGTATTATAAATACTCTTTAGTCTTATTAAATAGACTCTCAAAGTAAAAATTTGATCACTGATATCTTTTTTTTTTTTTTTTCTTTTGGTGACGGGGGGTATCCGGGTCAGCTTATGTATACCTCAACTAATCCCACAGAGCCTTGAAGTTAACAATCGGATAATTCTCCTCAATGTTCACTCTTATTAGAAACTTAGGTAGATCAAACTTAAGACCTCTTAAGTAATACACTCAATAATCCTAGTTGATCGTTGGACCATCCAACGGTGGTTTTTTTATTAATAATATATCTCTACTCTTATTCTATTATATAACCGTTAAATTTACAAAATATTTTCTTATAAGATCAAAATTATTAATTTACTTTAACATTTTTTTTATAACATTAATATTATCTTTTTATTTATCTAATAGTAACTTCAGTATAATATAACGAAGTTAAAGTAAAAGAGAATAAGGATAGGAATTGATAAATTCAATAATGTTAAAGAATGGCTTATAATATTTACCAATAGAAAGGAAAGTAATTAAAAAGGTAGAGTTCCTTGAGAAAAACGCATCTAAATAGGTTTGGGTTGGGAGAGAGGTTCGGATGAAGACTTTTAAGGCCAAAGATAAGCACCTCCCACACGCCCATCTACCACCCACCACTACAAACAACCCCACATCTTTTTCCACTCTCTTTCTCTCAAACTTAATTCAACTTTTCCCATCAATATTTTCTCTCTCTTTCTCTAACAAAATCATGAATGATCAAGAACTACTCACAGTCAGAGAAATCAAACCCAAAAACAGAAGAATCATGGTCCTTTTCCCTTCATCATCTCTCTATATTCAGTTCCTGATTGTTGTGTTTGTTTTTTTTATAATGATTATTAATTGATTGTATTAGGGAGGAGGAGGTCCTGAAGATCATGAGGAAGATGAAGATGGTGAAAATATAAAGTGGCCAACATGGGTGCGTCCTCTTCTCCAAACGAGCTTCTTTGTTCAATGTAAACTTCACGCTGATGCCCACAAGAGTGAATGCAACATGTATTGCTTGGACTGTATGAATGGTGCTCTTTGTTCTCTTTGTCTGGCATTTCATAAAGACCACAGGGCAATTCAGGTATTCTGTTAATTTCATCTATCAAATAAATAAATATATTCTGCCCAAGATCATGGGGAGCCTCAAATTCATGTGATTGTTTCATATACAGTCCAAAATCACATGAAATTACATTGGTTTCACCAATGACATGTGCCCTTTTATTGGGGAATGAATTGGAGCTTCATCTTCCACACCGGATATCCCTTTTAGTGTGTCAATGGAGCATGATACAATATTCATATTGCCCGATCATTTTGTTAAATATTTTAGTCAACTAACTGTGCCGTAGTTACCATCTCTAGGAACAGCTACGGTAACGTTACCGGGGCTGATGTAAAATATGAATTGAATTTTGTGTAGATAAGGAGATCATCATACCATGATGTGATAAGAGTAGCTGAGATTCAGAAATACATGGATATAACAGGAGTTCAAACATACATAATCAACAGTGCCAGAATCGTATTCTTAAACGAGAGGCCTCAGCCAAGGCCTGGTAAAGGCGTCACCAATACCTGTCAAGTTTGTGACCGCAGCCTCCTTGATTCCTTCTCTTTCTGCTCTCTCGGTTGCAAGGTAAGATTTTAAATTAACCTGACCATATATGGGTATCTTTATAAATTAGGCAAATTATTGTGATTTTTTTTTTTATAATTAATTTATTTCTGAAAAAGTAGTGTCCTGATCAATGTGTTTCAGTTACCATAATAATTTGGAAACTTTTTTATCCGTAAAGTAAATATGGTAATGATATGATCTCTTCTTAAACGAAGGCCACAAATAATAGAAAAGAGGGAATAATATTAATATTAAGTAAATATAAAGGTGGAATTGGTGCATTAGGTACTGAAAAGACATATAAAAAAGTGGTTTAACAAATGTACTTCTTGATTGGTTACAATGGCTTATACATTGACTCCTTTTTCAGATTGCTGGGTCATCAAAGAATTTTCAGAAAAGAAAAATGTGCAATGAAATCAATGGCTTGGATGCCATTAGCCATGGAAATGCAAAGACGAAAATACAAAGTTTCACACCATCAACGCCACCACCAACCGCCATTAGTTTCAGAGCAGCCAAGAGAAGAAAGGGGATTCCACATAGAGCTCCATTGGGAGGTCTTATCATACAATACTGAGAAATACTTGGTCAATCTCTCAACAATACACCCAGAAACATGGTAAATTCTAGAATTCTGGCAGCGTTTTACATATTCTGTCAAAAAAAAAAAAAAATGTTACTTTATGTTGATAACATTATTGGTCGGTCGATAATATTCATTAGAGTGACTTAATCTGATGATTATTGTTGATTATTCTGATAATGTTATTGTATCAGTAGCCTATATGACCTAGTCTTTTCGGCATCAGAGCTTTTGTCAGTGTAAGCCGGTGTTGGAAACTAAACTAAAGTTATGTGTTGTATATAGATGAAAAGGAAGAGTAATAAAAATGGTAAGATATGTATCCAAACGAAAAAGGAAAAATAAAAAGATATGAAGATGATGGGTTGTAAAAATAGTTTTATGTGTAGGGTTTTTATGTCAATTAATTATAAAGTTTTATTATATATGTGGTTTAATTGTATATAAAAGTTTATTAACTAAAGACTATTGTATTGTGAAAATGAATCAATGGTGACAATATATTTTAAGAGCATTGGTGTAATTTTGAGAAAGTCTTGTTAATTATTAGCGCATTAACTCGTAGAATTAAAATTGCCTTGTTTTTGCTTTAATTTCCGAGACTTGAAACTTTTTTTCTAATTTACTATTTTTTGTGTTAACGATGATTTCTGAGTTTTAAAAAGTTTTACAGCATGTGATCCATTTCTTTATCGTGAACTAGTTTGTCCTCATGTATAATTGCACATCAAGAGGAAAATCAATTGTCTATGTCGGTTGTAAATTGGTTCATATGAATTTTATTAAAATTATTTTAAAACACTCACTATAAAGGAAGATTAATGAAGATGTATGTTTATATCTTTATTTTAAAACCCAGATCGGACCGATAGGTTGGACCGGTCTGATCAAGACTTGACAATCTCTCCAGTCGTTCAGGTTGTCCAGGGGTTTTTGTTATATTTTGAATTTGTAGGGATTAATTTGTAATTTTGAGGAGGCAAAATATTTCAAAACTTTAGGGAATAATTCGTAATTTTCTTGAGCATATTTAAAATAAATTAAAATTTGAAGGACTAATTTAAAATTTATTAGGGATATTTTATAATATACTAAAATTTAAGGAATTAATTTGTAATTTTTAAAAAATACTTTTGTTGTTGACGTCATCTATCCAATCGATTGGAACCAATCAACTTGTGACCTGGTTACTTTGCCAGGTCTCAGAACAAGTCAGGTTTTAAAATAATGGTTTATATTAGAGCTTCTTTAAGTGGAATTAACTTATCTACTTATCAAAAGAATTATTTAGTTATAAGCATTTTTTAAAATTTGCTAGGTTATTTGATTGCATTTCAAAAGTACTTATAGGGTTTTAAATAATGGCTTATGAGAGAGCAAATTTTGAGGTCGTTTTGAACTAAATGTTTGAAGTTTTTTTTTTAAAAAAAAAAAAAAAATCTCTATTCTGTTTTATATGTGTATTGACTTGATTTATTCTTGTATACTTGATTTATCCTTATATATTAAAATACTTTTTAGTAAATTAATACTAAAAATTCTTTTATATTTCCTACTACCAACATTAAAAAAATTTATAAAAACTATGTTTCATGAACTCTACTCTAATAAACTCTTTTTTTATAAGCTTTAATCATATCGTAGAAATGATGCTTAAAATTATATAGAGTTTTACTGAAACTTAATATTTAGTGTATGTTTGGGATGATTGTAACTTTAAAATTGATCACTTAATTGAAATTAGAATAAAAAAAATGATTGGTAAACAATTTTTTAATATCATTATATGATTCAAGCTCTTTCAACATAGTTAGATTTTCATCATTTATCTAGATAGGTTTTCAAAATTATTTTTTTTCGATTTTCTACATGTATATATCAAATAAATCCTTACATATAGATAAAAATTACTAAATTAATTATATTCAATTTAATGAATTATCAATTAATTTAATATATTAAAATCTAGTAATTTTTTTTAACAAAATTATGTTGCCATAGCTACTAGCAAAGGTCAAGGATGCTAATATCAATGGTCATCTTAGGGTGTAGTCAAACCGAGTACTCATAGCTACTTGGGCTCGACTTGACACGAGCAGACGCTTGATTCGCAAAATCTCTAGCAATCGCGAGTTCGGTCATGATCGAAGCTCGCAAAAGAATTGAGTAGTTCTCCACTCGACTCGATTAACTCACAACTGCAAAAAACTCATTCGTCATTCGAGCATAGTGAAGCTCAAAACTCGGCCGCTCGTTGAAACTTGCATAACAAATCAATTTTATGCAGTTTCCTTTATCTTGCTATACTTTTTTTTGGCTAATATATCTTGCTATACTTGCTTGTTCATATTGTCTGTATCCTCAAATTACACTAGAAAAGTCCTTAGTTAAAATTATTTAAGTCTCTTCCAAGAATCATACTTGAGAATTAGTGAAACCGCCTAAAGGCGAAAAGATTATAGGACACAATGGGTCTTTAAGAAAAAAGAAGGTCTCAAAGGTAAAAGCTGAAGGTTCAAAGCACGTGTGCTTGCAAAGGGAACATGATCAAAGAAAGGTGTGAACTGAATGAAGCACTCTCTCCACTTGTAAAACTAGGGGTGAGCGGGTCTGAGTACACCCAAATCCCATGGAATTTGAATCAAAACCAGAACCGAAACCGAAACCCAATCCCTAAATGGCTGGAATCGAAACCTGAACACAAGTTCCGGTTTCGGTTCTGGGTACTAGAAAAATTAAAACACACTACACTAGTTACAAAATTGACAAATAAATCCTATGAAAACTATAATACGCCCCCATCTGTTTACAGAAATTACAAATCACACTTATAGTGACTATCGTATGAGGCCAATCCAGCCCGATTTCGGTGTCTTCGGTCCTCACCACACCCCCCCCCCCCCCCCCCCCCCCCCCCCCCCCCTAAAACACCAATAACACACTCCACTCAACCCATATATTAAAAAAAAAAAAACCCTATCCCACCCCTCACTTGATTGTACCACCAATTGTTTACCATTGCCCAGTATTTGGTCCACGCGTTTCAGCTTTTTCGTTAATAATGGCACCAAAATTGGCTTCGACCCCCACCAATCGACTCACCCGCATACCCCCCCCCCCCCACAACCCCACCACCACCACCAAAACCCCCAACCTCGCCCACCACAATAGCCTATCAATCACCATCGTCGCCCGCTTAGGGTTTCATAGGATTTTCGCACCTTCCCAACCTAATTCCGATCGATCCCTACACCAGAATCACCTTTGACACCACCAACTGAAACCACTAGCATCCCCCCTCCAAACCCCAACTGCAAAGACCGTTGGTTCTAGTTCCGATTTTTGAAATGTGAAACCGGAACCAGATTTGCACAGTGTTGGTTTCAATTTTTTAGAATCGAAACCCCAGGTACTTGTCGATTCCAGTTCTACCCTAAATTCCTGCACACCCCTATGTAAAACATAGCTCTAGAAGTGTATGTCATGGTTGCATCCATTGACATGAAATTAGAACAATTAAACATATGCACTATTACCTTGAAGAACAAATTTATATGCATGAGCCAAACGAATTTTTTGTTCAGGATAAAATTGACCTAGTTTGTGTTAAGCAAATATCCTATTTGTGAATTTTCTGTAAATGTAAAACTATTATGAATAAAAATGTATTATTTACAAATCGTTTTGTGATTTAAGTATTATTTTTGCTTGAATAGGTGATTGTCTAAGATTTCAAGACTTGTTTCCATATTAAAAGTAAAAACTACTTATATGAGTAGTCATATAAGTATTAAACAAAGTTTGACACTTTATGGTACGATATACTTATTATATGTTGAAGGTTAATTGCAAGTTTCCTCCCAAGGTATATGAAATAATGATCTAAGTTTGACTTTATTGTTTTGCTAGGCTTTTTATCATTTGATTAACAGGTATTATCTTTTGTTCCTCCAATGAAGCATTGAATTCTTTATGGAACACTTACAACAAGGAGAAAGTTATTATTTCATATATAAAAGGGGTAAATTATTATTCAATCTATATGATTCTGCATCACTTACTCTACAGTCATGGCTCGTCCTAAATATATAGTTCCATTAATCTATCATTTTTCATTTGTATTGACGGTAAAGTAATTCTTGATATTAATTTATTTTACAAAATTTTAGGTCTGTGATTAAAATTATAAAATTAGAACTATTATATTTAATAAAAAAAAAAAAAAGATAAGATTTTTTAGCCTTAGGAAAATTGTTAATATTTTAAAAATGAATTACGGTTATTTTTGTTGATGTATGTTGGATCTAAACACATAATAAGTGGGTTGTCAGAGATAATTTTCTTTTTCAAACCCTAAGACCCTGCACAGTTTTGTCTTAAAAAGACTCATTCGGATGATGAGAGTGTCTTTGTGCTATATAAGCGATCATGGTCCCATCTCCTAACTGATATGATACTTTGACACCAACAATTATTATTATTATTATTTGCTCACACTTTCTATAAACGTTCTAAAAAAAACAAAAAATTTCAATATTGAAAGAATAGATGAATTAGAAACTTATTGATACATAGAACAAAAACTTATAATTTGAGTCTTTAAAACAAAAAAAAACAAAAAAAAGAACAAAAGTGAATTAAATTTATTATGAGTTTGAAAATTTTGTGTAAATATAGATTTAAATGATTTAATTTAGAGACCTTAAGAAATAATAAACATTCAATTAAATGATATGAAATAACACTTTAATTGAGAGACATTAATGCAAATAATAATATTCATTTCCATATTATTAATATGACATTAATTAAAGAGAAGCTTAAAAGAAATTGCAATTTAAATCTATTTGAGAATTTTCTAATTCTATTTTTGGTTTTTTATTTTAGGTATTTTGTGTGGTTTCGTATGACTAATTATATCTTTTACACGCGGAAGTACCTGAAAATTGCCGTCCTTATCAGGCTGCTTTAGTCAGCTTACGCAAGGCCACGTGTTCCATTATCTCCAATAATTGTACTTTGTTGTTTCTCAGCCGTCGATTTACATCATCATCAGAAGCACAATCATTCATCTTTAGCGCCGTATATTGTTGAACAAAGAGTTGAAAAATATTTAAAAAATAAATATAAAAAACGGTTATTTCTTTTTTGAAAATACTAAAACGACATAACTTTATTTGATAAAAGAATATATAAATAAAATAAAATAATTTATATTTGAAAAATACTATCCTTACAACGACCCATACAAAGAAGGTTACAAAGTACATCCTCAAGAAGACAAAAAAAAAAAAAAAAAAAAGAGAGGAAAAAAATCATGAAAATCAAGGATGGAGATTGTCTTTGTATACCCCGTTTTATGTGTCTTTTTAAA